GAGAAGAGGTCCTGGCTTGCCATGGTACTAGATGACCCTGTTGCCTGTCCCATTTTGTCCTCCAACATAACCTCCTTGTCCACCACTTCGTCCTCAGGGTTGAGTCTGCTCTCTCCCCTCCCCTCCTGAAGTATCCACGGGGCTCTTCGCGATGGAGGTGGGATCGCCGCCGAGGATGGCATCCAGCTCCTTATAGAAGCAGCAGGTCTTCAGCACAGCACCAGAGCAACAGTTTGACTCCCTCGCCTTCTGGTATGCCTACCTATGCTTCTTTATCTTCACGGCACTGATGCATGTCCCATTTGTAGCCCTTATCCAACATGCCATGAGAACTCTGCGCATAAGTATCGAAGTTCCTACTGGGGTGGCGCTGGGACTGCACAGCCTCCTCTCCCCATAGAGCCAGCAGATCCAACAATTCAGGTGTGCTCCAAGCGGGAGAGCATTTGCTGCATGTTTGTCTGGGAAGATGCGATGTGAGCTGTCCACACTGAGCAAACAAAGTGGAATTTCAAAAATTCCTGGGCCTTTAAAGGAGGGCAGCAGAGTTCAGAGGGGTTAGGATGGGCATTGTGGGACACTTCCTAGAGACCATTTACAGTGACATAACCAAGTGCAGTGTTTACACTGACACGTGGTCAATATAACTGTGCTGCAAAAAGCTCTACCCCTCTCACTGAGGTGGTTTTATTATGTCGGCATGGGCGGGAGGAGCGTTTCAGTGTGTACACCTCCACCGTTTTGTCCATGAATGTCGATTTTTGTCGATAAAACTCTGTAATGTAGCTAAGCCCCTAGTGTGGACCAGACCTCATACTGGCATAACGCCTTGTCTACACTAGAAACCTTTCGCTGTCAAAGCTACACCCGTGTGGCTATCTCACCAGCCCTCCTACCCCGGTGATCCCTCTCCCCCCGCAGAAAGATCAGCGGGGATAGAACCGGGGGCTGGGGGCGGGGGCTGTACTGCGGTACCCGCCGCGCTGGGCGGGCGGAGGGAAGCTCCGGGAGGGCGCAGTTGGCCAGTCCCCGCTGGAGACCCGTTGAACCGGCGCCAGCTTAGCAACGGCCCATGAGCGCGAAGGGCGGGGGTAACCGCTCTTCTCCCGTCTGAACCGCCTTCCCCCTCGGCTGGGAGGGAGGCGCTTCCGTACGGGAAGCCGGCGCTGCGAGGCGCCCCCCGGGCCTGGGAGACCGGCGCGGATGGAGCGGCTGCGGGTGCAGGAGGGGGGCGCGGCGGCGGTGGACGAGTACGTGGAGTACCGGAGGTGAGGGGCCGCCTGCACTGGGGGGGACGGGACCGCACTGAGCTTAGGGGCTGCGGATAATGTTAAGGCCCTTCCTGGTGTGGCTGAGGCGTGGGTCACCGACACTCCCCCGGTCCTAGGGATGGGGGCGCAGGTGGCTGCTGTGTAGTTCGCAGGGTCTTTCTCCTGCCCCTCTAGGGGATGGGCTGGGGGGGGGTCAGTCTCTCTCTCCCCTACCCCCTGTTCTGGAGAGGGGGGGATGCTGGTTGAAGCAGCAGGAGTTACTCTCCTCGGGGAACACTTTAATAAAGCTGAAATACCATTTTACGGGAGAATAAACGTGAATCCCGGGCGGGGATGCTTTGAAGAATGCAGGTAGGGGAATCCTCTAAATTAAAATGTTGGTCACTGGGTAATTGCTCAGCCAAGTCAGCCTCTGCTGTTAGACCCCTGGGAACCTGATGCCACAATGCAAAATTATACCAATATATTTGATCTGAAAAGATTATTTTCTCATGCAAATCCGTCCCCTCCCAAATACCTTTAGAAACTTGTAATCTTTTTTGTTTTGTTTTTTTTTGAGACACAGGGGAAGAACACTTTTTTCCTCCATGGAAACACCAAAGCAACAAAGCTTCTTGCTTAGCAGAGGGGAGGAGTGCTTTGTAAATAAAAATGTTATTTAATACTCCACTTGAGGTTATAATCCTGATATTATCTACCTTTTGCTATTAGACTTCTTTCTTTTTCTACTGTGCAATATGTTACTGCTGATTTTTAAGTTATTAGTCATTGAAATTCTGGATAGGAGAGCTCAGGAAAGTTTAGGAGTCACCAGGACTCTAGAATGTTTTCAGGAGTTCTGCAGCTATGTCAGAACACTTTAAAAAATGTTTCTTTTTCAAAGGCAGGGGGCGGGAAATCTTCTAACTACCCCATGCAATGCCTTTGTCTCTGATGTTATGGCTCTATTAATATTTGTCTCTTCTAGCTTTGTCTCTGACTATTTTGACATGCAAGTACCTTTTCTGTTGACATGTATAAACTAGTTTTTTAGATATTATATCTCAGTTGAAATATGAGAGTTGAAATTATGTTTCTGTTTCCCCCTGCCCAGGCGTGCTTGTATGCCTGCCATCTGCCCAAGAGTAAACATTTGTGAAATAGTTTGGGAGCACAGTAAGCCAGTTCTACTATTTTTTTCAGGAAATACAAGTTGACACATTTTATTTTGACAATTATAAAAATGTCCCCATTTATAAGAATCTGTAGGTGCATCTTGTTAAAATAACAACTTTAAAAAAACCCCACAAAAGTGATTTAGCTCCTGTTTTACTGAGCATACATGATGCAATAGCTTGCACACTATTTTTAGCTTAAGAAAACATTCAGTAAAATAGGAAAGATGCAGGTAATCATACTTTTTATCCATATACGTTCAAAATGCTTTAAAAAAGAGGGTAACTTTCAATAAATTGTGATATCAGGTGTTGATGAAATAGATTAGCACATATTACTGTGATATTGTACATTACTGATATGCAAATTAACAATATATGTATATCCACACTGTAGCTTACTGAAAAACAGGCCCATGTTATATCTATTGTAGAAAGTCTTAACACATGAAACTTATCATAATAATACTATAGATTTTTATAGCATTTTATAAACATGAATGAATTAAGTTTAAAAACTCCATGAGGCAGGTAAGTATTATTCCTGTTATCCAAATGAGGAAACCGAAGGCCTTTCAGGGCTTGTCCTCACTGCAGAGTTAACTAGAATTATAGCTTGAATGTTGCCCCTTGAGTCCTGTACACATACACAAATCTGTAACTCGAGCATAGTTAATTCAAGCTGGCTGGCCTGTTGGGATGTAGGTTACTGCTCTGGTTAGCACAGCTCATCAGCTGTTTATAGCAGTGTTTCTCAACCGGGTTATGTGTACCCCTGGGGGTACGCAGAGGTTTTCCAGGGGGGCATATCAACGCATCTTGATCTTTGCCTAGTTTTACAACAGGCTACATAAAAAGCACCAAAGTCAGTACAAACTAAAATTGAATATAGACAAAATGAGAAAGTAAGCAATTTTTCAGTCACTGTGCCGTGACACGTGTATTTTAATGTCTGATTTTGTAAGCAAGTAGTTTTTAAGTGAGGTGAAACTTGGGATATGCAAGGCAAATCAAGACTTCTGAAAGGGGTACAGTAGTTTGGAAAGGTTGAAACCTACTGGCTTACACAATAACTTTGTGCTGCTAATACACCATTCGATACAACTTGAGTGTTATTTCATGGTGTGGCAGCTCTCATTCAAGCTCCGTTAACGTCAGAAGAGTTAACTCAAGTATAGATAACTCTGGAGTGAAGACATAGCCATATAGCAGTGGCCCCTGAACTTTTTAGGGTCATGCCCTCCTTACCCCGTCTGCACCTCCCCCTCCCGAGCCAGGGATGGGAGTGGGGTCACGGCTCCTGGGGCAGGTGGGGAGACCTGGATGGGGTAAGGGAGCGAGACTTAGAGTGGGTCTGGGGTTGGGAGTAAGCTAGGGCCGGGGTCAGGAACAAAGTCGCGGCGAGGGGCTAAGGCTGGGGGTGGGGGTGGAGCCGCAGCTGAGCTGCGGTAGGTGCAGGGCTGCAGTGAGGCTGAGGCCAAGGCCAGGAGCTGGGGATGTGGCTGGGGGCAGGGCCAGAACAGAGTTGGGGGTGTGTGGTGCTTCCTCTCCACCCCCTGTGGGGGCTGGCCTGGGCACCACCGCACCCCACTGAACGTTCCTCCATGCCCCCCTAGGGGGTTTTGCCCCACAGTTTGGGGACCTCTGCTATAGAGTGATGACGTGACTTGTAGAGGTCATGCAGGAAGTCTGAGTCAGAGCTAGGAAGACCCCAGCACTCCTGACTTGCAGTCCATTTTCTTCAATGTAAAAAGGAACTCGGTAGCTTGCCTCCATCCTTCGAGACACTTTTCATACTATTAAAGCCAGTTTATAAGCATTTGTTTAAAAACTTAAGTACAGTTCCTTACAAAGGCCATCTCTAGGGTACTATTATGGAAGATAAAATAATGTTCAGTGTTGTTTACTGGTGCATCATTATATATTTTCAGAATTGCAACCTACCTTTGCCTCCCTCGATTTTACTGAAAGTTAAATGTAATTAAAATATTATGAAACACAATTACATGTTGCAGAATTGTAGGTGATGACGATAGAGGGAAACTCTTTACTCCAGAGCAATATGAAGAATACAAAAGAAAAATGTTACCAATACGATTACAGAACAGATTGTATGTGAGCTGGAGATCCCCAACTGGAATGGACTGTAAACTTGTGGGCCCGGAGACACACTGTTTTTGTACCCATAGGTGAGGGTTTTTTTTCTTGCTGCTGAACTTTCTTTTTACTTAGAAAATATAAAATGCTTATAAAAAGCACTGTCATACCAGTTATTAACTTGAGAATCTAGGGATGTAAAGATTGATGTAATTTAAGGAAGCATTTTTGAGACGAAAGAAATCATTCCATAAATGCAGTTTATGCTTGAAACTGTGATTCTACCAGAGACTGAAGTGGTCAGAGATAAATTCAAGAGTTTAGAGCTTTGAAGCTACTGATATATTTACATTTATTGTGTGGATCACCACCTACTGCTTTGAAAATATATACTTGAAGTGGCGCCAAAAATCAAATTTAAAGATCTGCCATATTTTTTCACTAGGGTATAACTTAAAGCACTTGAAACCCCACACAGCATTGAAAATTATCTTTTGTGAGAATGAGCACTTTTTTTGTTTGTAGAAGAACTAAATGTATTTCTGCATTAAACTTGAAATCTAAATTATAAATTCCTTAAAGAAATTTTTAATGGTAAATGCTGAATGACTTTGAGCTATAATTGTTTGCAGTATTGCTGCAGCCGTATTGGTACCTCACCGACCTTGTCTCTTTGAACTATAATGGTATTGTTATAGACAATATGCAAATGTACTAATTTATTTTTTTCTGTTTTTAGGTATAAACAACACAAAACAGATTATGAAGAGATTCCAAAAGATCGTCCTATTTGTGTACCCTGTCGAGTGAACCGTTGCCAGTGCAAATCCTATCACTATGTCCCGCTAAATGGCACTCAGCCCATTCGTTGTAGATGCAAGCACTTTGCTGATCAGCACAGTGCAGCACCTGGATTTTCCTGTAACTCCTGTAAGTTAGTTTCCTATAAATACACATGCAGTATTCTTTACTGCTAACTTAAGAAGCATACGCTTTAAATACAGGTATATTTTCTAAACTTAGCAGGAAATAGCACTTCATGCCCATGCAAGATTATTGGTAACACTGATTTAACATACTAATAGTTAAATCCTAGTATCACTGAATTCAGTGGAAGTTTTGCTATTGATTTTAGTGGGACTAGGATTTGGGCCAAAAACAGGAATTATTAACATCAGCAGTTAAACTACGGACTCAAGTATCAGGGGGTAGCCGTGTTAGTCTGTATTCACAAAAACAACGAGGAGTCCGGTGGCACCTTAAAGACTAACAGATTTATTTGGGCATAAGCTTTCATGGGTAAAACCCCGCTGCTTCAGATGCAAACTCTGTACTGATTTTCTGTCTTTTAGATCTCTTCAAATGATATATTGATGGATATTTTTAGCTAGACTTCTAGATTGTTAGTAAAATACTTGCATGAAGTATGTGAAATAATTTATACAGGAAGGATCTAAAAAAAAAACAGTTTTGCTTGCAGAATGGGGAATAATATCTAACAGAATAATATACAACACTGGTCTCCCATGTTCAAGAAAGATGAATTCAAACTGGAACAGGTGCAGAGGATTACTACGATGATCAGGGGAATGGAAAACCTACCTTAGGAGAGGAGACTCAAGGGGTTTGGCTTGTTTAGCCTAACCAAATGAAGCCTGAAGGGAGATATGATTGCTCTATCAGAGAGGGAATGGAGTTATTTAAGTTGAGCACCAATGTTGAAACAAGAACAAATGGATATAAACTGGCCATAAATAGGTCTAGGTTTGAAATTAGATGAAGGTTTCTAACCATTAGAGGAGTCAAGGTCTGGGACAGCCTTCCAAGGGTAGCAGTGAGGAAAAAAACCTAACTGGTTTAAGTTTATGGAGGGGACATTATAATGAGACTACCTAAAATGGCATACGGCCCATCAGTGACTGCTAGTACAAATATTCCCAATGGTGGAGTTGGGACACTAGATGGGGGGCTCTGAGTTACTACAGAGAATTTTTTCCTCAGGTGGGTCTTGCTGACATGCTCAGAGTCCAACTGATAGCCAATTTGGGGGTTGGGAAAAAAATTCAGTTTGGGAGAGACCCCAGGGGGTTTTCACTTTCTTCTGCAGCATGGGGTACAGGTCACTTGCAGGTTTAAACTAGAATAAATGGTGGATTCTCTGTAACTGGAAGTCTTTAAATCATGATTTGAAGACTTCAGTAACTCAGTCAGAGGTTATGGGTCTATTACAGGAGTGGCTGAGTGAGGTTCTGTGGCCTGCAGTGTGCAGGAGGTCAGCCTAGGTGATCACAATGGTCCCTTCTGGCTTTAAAGTCTATTCCTGTAAATAACTTCCCCAAGGTCACACAGGGAGTTTGTGGCAGAGCTGGGAAGTGAACCCAGGTTGCTAGAATCCCAGACCTGTGACCGATCAATTGGACCATTCTGTACCCTGATTTAGGTACATGAATCCTTCTTGGCTGGGCATATGTTGGGCTGTATGCTGCTGCTTCTGGGTGACTCAGTGCCCATTCCACAGAACAGCTAGAGCCAATTGGCAAGGGAGGTTAAGAAGTCAGAGAACGGTTGCTGCCATCTAGGGGAGCATTACAGTGGATCTCACTCACTAGTTGTTATCTTAGCTCAGGGGTGGGCAAACTTTTTGGCCTGAGGGCCACATCTGGGTATGGAAATTGTGTGGTGGGCCATGAATGCTCATGAAATTGGGGGTTGGGTGTGGGAGGGGGTAAGGGCTCCGGCTGTGGGTGCAGGCTCTGGGGTTTGGCCAGAAATTAGTAGTTCAGGGTGCAGGAGGGGGCTCTGGGCTGGGGCAGGGGGTTGGGATGCGGGAGGGGGTACAGGTTCCGGGGTACGGCCAGGGATGGGGGGGCTGTGGGTGGAGCAGAGGGGTTTGGAGTATGGGAGGGGGCTCTGGGCTGAGACAGGGGGTTGGAGTGTGGGAGGGGATACAGGCTCTGGGCTGGGGGTGAGGGGACTTAGGGTGCAGGAGGGAGCTCCGGGTTGGGGGTTGAGGTGTGGGGGGTGAGGGTTGGGGTAGGGGAGGAGGCCAGAGGTGCAGGCTCTGGGCAGCACTTACTTCAAGCAGCTCTTGGAAGCAGCGGCAAGTCCTCCCTCCGAGTCCGGCTCCTATGTGGAGGCGCAGCCAGGCGGCTCTGTGAGCTACCCTATGTGCAGGCGCCGCCCCCACAGCTCCCAGAAACAGCAGGATGTCCTCCCTCTGGCTCCTACATGGAGGTGCAGTTCCGGCCATGCAGCTCTGTATGCTGCCCTGTCCGCAGGTGCTCGTTCCAGCCAATGGGAGCTGCAGAGCCAGTGCTTGGGGCAGGAGTAGCGTGCAGAGCTCCCTGGCTGCTCTGACATGTAGGAGCTGGGGGCAGGGGGAGAGGGAAATGCCGCTGCTTCCGGGAGCCGCGTGGAGCCACAGCACAAGCAGGGAAAGCCCCCTACCCTGCTCCCCGGTGGGAGATAGAGGACCGGATTAAAAGGTCTGACGGTCTGGACACAGCCTGTGGGCTGTAGTTTGCCCACCCCTGCCTTAGCTGAAGCTGCCTCCAACTTGTTGAAATTGTTTGATAAATTGTGGGAGCACAGTGCACAATCAAGCCTTTGATTTGTCTGGGACTGATAGAACTATATTCTATTCTATCCAGGAATAGAACTCAGATCTCCTGAATCCCATGATTTAACCACATGTTCATCCTTTCTCTTGTAGAGCTTCCAAATGGAAAGTGTGGTTGGGTACTTACACATGGAAGGAAATCAGCAGTGCTTGGGAAAGCAACAATTTAGGGAAATTCTCTACTGTGTGTGATAATGAATGAACAGCCTCCATCATCATCTCACTCTGAATACTTTTTATTTTTAATTTAGGTTCCAAATGTTCAGGATTTCACAGCTGCTTTACCTGTGGGTGTGGTCAGCCAACATATGCGCATGAAACGGTTGTGGAAACTAAACAAGAGCGCTTAGCCCAGGGAAAACCTGTGGGGCAAGATGTTCCTTATGCTGCAATGGGAGGATTAACTGGCTTTAGTTCACTGGCTGAAGGCTATATGAGACTTGATGACAGCGGAATAGGTAAGTGCAGGAGGACTTGAGATAACATTTTGATCCTTTGTCTATTTAATTTTCATATTTGAAAATCTGTTGAAATATTAAATTTCAGGGCAAGTTAAACCTTCCCATAGGATGAGGACTCCAAATCACTGATTTTTTTTTCATAGATTTAAAGGCCAGAAGAGATCATTATGATAATCTCCTCTGACTTCTTGTAGAAAAGAAGCTATAGAAATTAGAAGATATGACATAGTTGGCATCACAGAGACTTGGTGGGATAATATGCAGGACTGGAATATTGGTATAGAAGGATACAGCTTGCTCAGGAAGGATGGCAGGAAAAAAAGGGAGGAGGTGTTGCGTTATATATTCAAAATGTATACACTTGGACTGAGGTTGAGAGAGAAATAAGAAACAGACTTGTTGAATGTCTCTGGGTAAGCATAAAAGGGGTAAAAACAAGGGTGATGTCATGATAGGGGTCTACTACAGACCACCAAACCAGGAAGAAGAGGTGGATGAGACTTTTTTTAAACAACTAACAAAATCATCCAAAGCACAGGACTTGGTGGTGATGGGGGACTTCAACTACCCAGACATCTGTTGGGAAAACAACAGCAGGGCATAGATTATCCAACAAGTTCTTGGAATGTACTGGAGACATTTTTTTATTTCAGAAGGTGGAGAAAGCTACTACAGGAGAGGCTGTTCTATATTTGATTTTGACAAATAGGGAGGAACTGGTTGAGAATTTGAAAGTGGAAGGCAACTTGGGTGAAAGTGATCATGAAATGGTAGAGTCCATGATTCTAAGGAATGGTAGGAGGGAGAACGGCACAATAAAGACAATGGATTTCAAGAAGGCAGACTTTAGCAAACTCAGGGAGTTGGTAAGTAAGATCCCATGGGAAGCAAGTCTAAGACTGTTGGCAGTTTTTCAAAGAGACATTATTAAGGGCACAAGAGCAAACTATCCAACTGCGTGGGAAAGAACGGAAGTATGGCAATAGACCACCCTGGCTTAACCAGGAGATCTTCAATGATCTAAAACTCAAAAAAGAGACTTACAAAAGGTGGAAACTTGGTCAAATTACAAAGGATGAATATAAACACCACAAGTACACCTCTACCCCGATATAACGCAGTCCTCGGGAGCCAAAAATCCCTACTGCGTTATAGGTGAAACCCCGTTATATCGGGGTAGCGGCGTCAGGGCTCCAGCGGTGATTTAAAGAGCTCCGGGCTCCGGCCGCTGTGGGGAACGCCGGGCCCTTTTAAATCACCGACTGAGCCCCGCTGCCACAGCTCCGGGGTAGCAGCGGCAGGGCTCCAGCAGTGATTTAAAGGGCCCGGGGCTCCCCGCAGCAGCCAGAGTCCCGGGCCCTTTAAAGCGCCGCCCAAGCCCCGCTGCCGGAGCCCCGGGGTTACCGTGCTATATGTGAACCTGTGTTATATCGGGTCGCGTTATATCATGGTAGAGGTGTATGTAGGGATAAAATGAGAAAAGCCAAGGCACAAAATGAGATCAAACTAGCTAGGGACATAAAAGGAAACAAGAAAACATTCTACAAATACATTAGAAGCAAGAGGAAGACCAAGGAGAGAGTAGGCCCGTTACTCAATGAGGGGGGAAAGACAATAACAGAAAATGTGGAAATTGCAGAGATGCTTAATGACTTATTTGTTTCGGTTTTCACCAAGAAGATTGGTGGCGATTGGATAGCTAACAGTGAATGCCAGTGAAAATGAGGTAGGATCAGAGTCTAAAATAGGGAAAGAACAAGTCAAAAAATTACTTAGACAAGTTAGATGTCTTCAAATCACCAGGACCCGATGAAATGCGTCCTAGTATACTCAAGGAGTAGATTGAGGAGATATCTGAGCCATTAGCAATTATCTTGGAGAAGTCATGGAAGACAGGAGACTGGAAAAGGCAAATATAGTACCCATCTATAAAAAGGGAAATAAGGACAACGTGGGGAATTACAGATCAGTCAGCTTAACTTCTATACCTGGAAATATAATGGAGCAAATCATTAAGCAATCAGTTTGCAAACACCTAGAAGATAATAAGGTGATAAATAACAGTCAGCATGGATTTGTCAAGAACAAATCATGTCAAACCAACCTGATAGCCTTCTTTGACAGGGTAACAAGCCTCGTGGCTGGGGGGGGTGAAGCGGTAGATGTGGTCTATCTTGACTTTAGTAAGGCTTTTGACTCTGTCTCGCATGACCTTCTCATAAACAAACTCGGGAAATACAACCTAGATGGAGCTACTATAAGGTGGGTGTGGAATTGGTTGGAAAATCGTTCCCAGAGAGGAATTATCAGTGGTTCACAGTCATGCTGTAAGGGGATAACGAGTGGGGTCCTGCAGGGATTGGTTCTGGGTCCGGTTCTGTTCAATATCTTCATCAATGATTTAGATAATGGCACAGAGAGTACACTTATAAAGTTTAGGAGTACTTGTGGCACCTTAGAGACTAACAAATTTATTAGAGCATAAGCTTTCGTGGACTACAGCCCACTTCTTCGGATGCATAAGAAGTGGGCTGTAGTCCACGAAAGCTTATGCTCTAATAAATTTGTTAGTCTCTAAGGTGCCACAAGTACTCCTGTTCTTTTTGCGGATACAGACTAACACGGCTGCTACTCTGAAACTTATAAAGTTTGCGGACAATACCAAGCTGGGAGGAGTTGCAAGTGCTTTGGAGGATAGGATTAAAATTCAAAATGATCTGGACAAACTGGAGAAGTGGTCTGAAGTAAATAGGATGAAATTCAATAAGGACAAATGCAAAGTACTCCACTTAGGAAGGAACAGTCAGTTGCACACGTACAAAATGGGACATGACTGCCTAGAAAGGAGTATTGCGGAAAGGGATCTGGGGGGTCATAGTGGATCACAAGCTAAATATGAGTCAACAATGTAATGCTGTTACAAAAAAGGCAAACATTCTTGGATGTATTAGCAGGAGTATTGTAAGCAAGACATGAGAAGTAATTCTTCTGCTCTACTCTGCGCTGATTAGACCTCAACTGGAGTATTGTGTCCAGTGCTGGGTGCCACATTTCAGGAAAGATGTGGACAAATTGGAGAAAGTCCAGAGAATAGCAACAAAAATGATTAAAGGTCTAGAAAACATGACATATGAGGGATGATTGTAAAAATTGGGTTTGTTTACTTTGGAGAAGAGAAGACTGAGAGGGGACATGATAACAGTTTTCAAGTACATAAAAGGTTCTTACAAGGAGGAGGGAGAAAAATTGTTCTTCTTCTCTGAGGATAGAAGAAGCAATGGGCTTAAATTGCAGCAAGGGCAGTTTAGGTTGGACATTAGGAAAAACTTCCTAACTGTCAAGAGTGGTTAAGCACTGGAACAAATTGCCTAGGGAGGTTGTGGAATCTCCATCATTGGGGATTTTGGAGGCAAATTGGACAAACACCTGTCAGGGATGGTCTAGATAATACTTAGTCCTGTCTTGAGTGCCGGGGACTGGACTAGATGACTTTGAGGTCCCTTCCAGTTCTATGATTCTAGGAAATTCATTCATTAATTTCTGTATCCAGAAGAATACATTCTGATTGAATGACATTGACATTCAGTGAAGACATTGAAAACTTCTACTTGATATTCTGTTGTTTATATATTCAAGAACTGAGTTGATCCTCTTAGCCACAGAGTTATATTGGGATCTCATGTGCCACTTGGTTATCTAACACATAAATATGAGTCCTCATCAGAAGCACTTCTTTCCAAGATCCTGCATGTGTGATCTAATTCTTTGTTCTTTAAATGTCCGATTTTGCATTTGGCAATACTGAAATGCATGTTATTTGAATGAAACCAGTGTGCCAAATGATTCAGATCACTTGGCATAACTGACTTATCCTTATCACTGTTTACCATTCCACCAATTTTTGTGTCATCTACAAAGTTTACTAGCCATGATTTGATATATTTTTTCCAGGTCACTCATAAAGTTGTTGAATGACATTGGGCCAAGAACAAATCCCCATTAGAAACACTCCTATTCATTGATGATTCCCCATTAACAGTTACATGTTGGGGTATCTTCCTATTTTCTCTTAACATTATTCATTTTAAGTTTTCAGCCTGACAAGTACAGATCAATGATTTTTTTTCCAGTGTAAGGCACAATTCATAGTGGGATTTCAAGCTGATTTGTTACAAGTCTACAATTAATACTCAGTGTACAAAATTGGACATATGTAGAACTGGGTTGTTATCTTACACCACTGGTTCTTAGAGAACTTCTGATTCTCTCTATTCCCCTGTAATATAGTTTTGAATGTAGGAGTCTTTATTTTGAAATACTGTTGGTATTTAATTATATTTTAAATTCTGGGTCTGGTCTCCACGATCTTTCTGCAATGTAGTTACTGTATAGTACAGTACAGCAACCGGAAGAAAAGAGCTCAGCCATTTCATTTCTTTTCAAGCCATACTTTGGTTCTTTTACCACACCTATTTTCTTCTGGTATTCTGGATGATACACAATGTGTAATTTTTTCATGTAGTTTACTACATATCAGGGTAATTTATTTTAAGTGGTAGGTATGTTTGGTTTCCATCATGTATGACTCCTAACGCTTCTTGTGAAGCTAATTTTTTTCTAATATGTTTTCTATTAGGGGCACCCTCTGCTGAATTTCTAGAGTCACCTAGTAGTGGCATGGACCATCCATTTCTAAAAGCATTCCAAGGCCCCTCCAGTTCTGCACAAGCCAGCTCACAATTAACAGGTGGTAATGAAATGAACTGACCATTTTTTTATTTTTTATTTTAAATTGTGGTGTATTATTATTATCACTCAGTATAAAGGCACTATATAATGTTGACTTTTTGATGAGTTAAGGAAAGCTTAAAGGTGTACATTAGAGTTCAAAACTAAAGCGAATATTTAAGATTATTTCCTCTAAGAGGGATGTATGTAATTAATATACAAACTTTTCTGTAATCAAGATTTTCAAAACAGAAGGGTTTTTTCATTGTTGTTTCAGAGAATCTCTCTCCCATTAGTTTAATATGAAACTAGATTTTCTTGATTTTGATGCCCTTCCCCTGCACCTATTTCCTTTCTTAATAATGGAATCACCTATTCACTGGAGTACCATCTCTGCGTTTTTGTTTCCCAGTAAGAGATCATTGTCTGAACACACACTTCGTATGTATTTACTCAGTGTAATATTGTGCAACTGCTTTCTCCCTATATGGACATAGCTGTGAGGTCACTTCTGCCCAATTATGTCCCACGGCTAGTAAGATGGTAGTCACAATGTAGCTCCTTTGAGGCCTCTTATAGAAACTACCAGTCTTTCCATTCCAGACCTAGTTAACAGTGCTGCTTACTTGGCTGGAGGTACTGCTTTTAAGTAAAATAGGGTACTTCTCCCTTGTGCAGACTGAAATTTATTTGAAAATCTTTTTCCAAATATAAAGCATATTGAAATCAATAAAAAGTATTTTTAATAGACATTTGTTTTGTTTTTTCAGGTGGTTCTAGTGCAGCAAAGCAAGTTTCTAATTTAAGGAGTTCTGAAGAAGATGACATGGCTTACTTTGAAAAACAGTACCAGGAACGGGTAAGTCATTGTATTTAGAGCTTAATACAGACATGTTCCTTAAAAATAAAGTGGCTCAATTTAAGGTGGATAAACTTAAAATTGAACTTGCCTACAATGGTTCACATTGCTTTAACTGCTATTCTGATCCTGAAAAAATGTATTAGCATTTCAAAATGAGGGTTACAACATAGTGACCTAATAGTGTAGGTCCATAGGCCAATCATATCTGGAATAGTTCAGTGACCTTCCCACCTAGATCAGGCAGATGTAATTAAAAAACTTAAGTTGCTTTGGCCAGAGGAAAGCAAAAGCATAACTGCACCAAAATACCAAACAATCATAGAAAGAAAAAACTCAGCAATTGTTTTGGACAACTAGGAGAAACTGTGCAAAAACAAAACAAACCCCCTTTGGATACCCAGGAAAGCATGGACTGCTACTCTCAGGCACAAAACTTCTTAATACCCCTTTAATTTATATGTAGTCATTCAGATTCTGGTTTAACTCAGTATTACTTAACTCCACCATCTTAGCCGAAAGTGAATTCTACCAATTCACCAATTCCTCTATAAAGTAATATTTCACTTACCTAGTTTTAATAAAGCCTAATGTTATGCTCGTTTCTTGCATCAGGTGGTGTCTGTTTCTGTCAGAACTGGTCTTTGAAACTCTGAATCTTTTCTTGAGAAACATTACAAAAATAAAGAAGAAATGTGCTACAAATTTTGCAAATGTAATAGTTTATAGATATAGCATTACTACTAAGTCTAAAGACTTTTTCCAGTATTTTCTTTTCCTTGGTGAAGAGGCTGTAAGAATTTCAGATATTTGATCCAATCCTGCAAAGACTGAGGCATGTGCTTTTTCTTGAGCACGAGTAGTCCCACAACAGGACTACTTACCCGTGTGCATAACTTTAAGCTTGTACGTCTTTGCAGGGTGCCTTACTCACTTTTTTGACAATCTTCATCTTCTCAATGGGGATCCAGCACCAGTGGCAGCAGTGGGGTCCATCTCTAGCTGGCCCCACACACAACCAGCACCAGCAGAAACAGCAGGAGGGGAGTACCTTCGGTCACTTATTACTTTTCAGAAAATTTCCTTTAATTTTCAAAAGATTAAAGTGAGGCTGTGACTCCTCTCCCAATCCCGCCCTCAGCTCAGGAACCATCACCAGGAATGAGGCAGCCTAAAGGATTTGTTCTTTTAAAAGGAAGGAGCCCCAGCCCAGCTCCTCTAGACACTTCTCCACATGCTGGCCAGGAGGCCACTTTTCAGCTGTTACTCAGACAAGACTAAAAGGTAAGTGCTATTTCTCATCCTCTACATCTCCCACCCAAAGCAGGTAAGAGCAACAGGGGTGTCATTACAACACAGACAGTTTATTTAAAGGAAATGGATGTCTGATGCCATTGACACTTCCTCTTGCTGGGCTCAGTCCTATTATCATTTATTACAATTTCCATTCCTGTTATGCCACCATGCTTCCAGCATACCCACCACTGCTTCAGGAACACATTGCTCCAGCTCTACCCCTTCCCAGGACTCAGACAAGTCACAGCTCCAAAATATATCCAACAGAGCTATCTCTCCTATGGCAACTGGTGAACCAGACAACCGTTCCTTCACTTGCAACATCCCATGACAACATTTACTTCATTACCTATCACAGTTCAAATTGGGAGGACCTGTCCAAGAAAACAGGAAAGCAAAAATAAGAAGCTAGATTCCAGACCTAACACGCCTGTATGCTGCACAGGTCCACTACACTACATAGTCCACTGGCCAGAAACAGACAGCACAAGGCATCACAAACTAAAGCTGATGTTGATCAATGCAAGACCTGCCACTAACAAACAATACATGACCTCATCAGTAATGAGGCACCTGATATAGCCTGCATCACCAAGACCTGGCTGGATGACAGAGCAAGTCCTATACTAGCCAACTGCATTCTCCCAGGATACTTGGTACACCCCTGACCTAGAAAGGACAAAAGGCCAGTAAGTACTCCATTCATTTTCTTTGCAAATGTCAAATGCAAGAAAGGAGCCACAGATAAGACAACTTCATTTGAATTCATTCATCTGACAGTCAAAACCAGAGCAAAGCTTGTGTGTGAGTGTGTGTATGTATAGATTTTATGCTTATTTACAACCTCTGCAGAAAAGGGTTCATGAAGGAGCTCACTGGCCTGTGGTTGGCAGTGGTGGTGAAATACCCCAGACTCCTTGTCCTAGGAGATTTCTATATTGATACAAGGCCGCAGATACAACCCCCCCCAAACTCATCACCTCACTTTTCTCCCTAGCACTTTCATAGGTCATCTTTGGCCCTTTTGTTTTCAGTTTTTACCAAAAAATTCCAGGTTTTACAATAGCAATTCCCGCCCCCAAATATCGGAAGGGCCAGAACTTCCCACCTCTCCTCTCTGGAAGGTGAGATGGTGGCTCGGTAACCATGGGTGTCCCTGGTTTCTGATCCACCATCTCTTTTTCCAGAGTGGCGGGGATGGATCAGAAGTACTGGAATAACTTGAGTGCTGATGTACGTACTGCTGTCAATCCCACGCCCATCACATACATATTACCTGTTCTACAGATAGCATGGATGTTTATAACATTCAAAGCAAATAAGTTAGTGAACTACTTTTCATGCCAAAATTAGTCAAAAATGAAAAATTGAATTCGACTGTGTTTTAAAACATAAGGGCTGTTTTGGAGGTTAAAAACACAAAAACAGTAGAAAAGAGGAGAGAGCTATTTACACAGAAAACTTCAAATTCATTTTTTGCACTGATTTTCACCCATTTTTTGTAATGAACATTGATGAATTTCCAGGAAATTTGAAACAAAAACAGAAAATGTAGGGCCTTACTCACATAGCTAACTCGTACTCCAACGAATTCCAAAGCATGCTAAAGGATAACAGTACCCCGCCCAAGGGGTGAGGAATCAAGGACCTGGTCAATCATTATCATTCTACACTGGCCTCCGCCATTGACATGTTTGCCCCCAAATAGCCCCTTCTCCACATTGCCCACACGGATTATCTTGATTTTCTGACACCCTGTGCCGGATGAAGAGAGAGGGTGGAAACTCAAGTGCTGATGGCAGAATACAAAGACTGATTCAGACAAGATGAAACAAATTCCTCAGTCTATACTGAGGCTGCATTACAAGCCGAGAGAGCCTTCCCATCAGCTTTCTTTGAGGCTGCCAAATCCCACCCCAAGGGGTAAATTCCTTCAATCCTGAATGCTTACAACCTGTATCAGAGCCAAGAACATCAAGCACCGCAAAAAAACTTATCATCCTACTTCACTGAAAAGATCATACACATTCAGGAAGTCTTCTCAAACAGCATGCATCTGCTCTGCCTGCACTCACTAACCAAGAACCAGCTGCATTCTCAGAATTCAGTACATTGACTCATCAAGAAGTTCTGGACAACCTAAAGGAGTCCTGATCCAAGACTTGTTCATGACTCTTTCACAAGCCAGAAAGGGCATAGGTCAGATTCACAACTAGTGCCACTCCTGAGTGAAATAGCCAATGCTTCGGTCATGCTGTCTAGAATGGTATACAACTGAGTGCCAGCCTCAGGGCAGACAAACTGACAAAAGCAGGGCAGATATCCCAAACTAGTGGTATGTATTATAATTAGATTTTACCAATCCAGTAACAAATGTGAACTCCTGGATCACTGTAACAGTCTTACCATGAGTCACAGACCATCCCCTTGGCTCTCCAATCTATCTTGCCACCCAGGCAACCTGAATTTAGTGATAAATGATCACTTACACCAGAAATCATAAAACATTTAGGTTGTGAGCAGTCACTTACCCCAAATCAATTTGTACCTTAGATCTCACACCAAAGACAATGCTGGTAGCTAATCCCATAGTAAATTAACAGAGGATTTATTAACTAGGAAAAAGAAATGAGAGAATTATTTACAGGTTAAAGCAGGTAACATGTATACACAAATGAGTTCAGCCTATGGTTCCATGTCAACTATCTTTATTTCCCTCTTGCAGCATTTCAACTCATGGGATGATGCCTTCAGCATGTGCTTCTCCATGGGTGGATGGGGCAATCAACAAAGCTTTTGTCCTACAATGGCCCACAACTTTGATAGCCTTCCTGGATGAACTGGGGGAGCCACTCTCCCCATGTGAGTTCACAAGTTTGGAGCAGTGATTTTTAAAGTTATAAAACAAACTTATATTTTACCTTGTAGCATGGTATACAGACATTGCAATTGTAATGTTTATGCATGCAGCAACTTAGTCATTTTATAGCATCTAAACACATCCTTACAAGTCTAACACCTATCTAGAACAATATTAGCATATAGGTGAGCTGGTCTGTTTCCAGCTATGAATTTCTCAGTACTCAGCTGACATCTACAGACTTTGCAAGAGCTGGCACTTGGTTTACCAGCATCACAGTCTCATTCAGAGAAGGAATCTTCCCTCCCACCTTCAAACACAGAATAGTCTGACCAACATTGAAGAAACCCATGCTGGCCAACCCAGTACTAGCCAGCTATCACACATAACCCTCCCATTCCTGAGCAAACTCAGAGAAACTAGCAAAGGGCCCAACTACAAATTCATCTAACAGAAACTAACACTCTAGACCTGGCACAATCTGAATTCAAGCCAGAACACAGAACTGAAACTGCATTGGTAGCACTGATGGATGATCTCCTGCTGTCAGTGATAGAAGACAGACATCCATTCTCATCCATTGCAGCATTCAACATTGTTGACCATGATGTACTGCTGTCTCATCTGAGAGAAACAGGAGTCCTGGGCAATGCACTAAAATGGTTTGAGTTCCACAAGGATCAGTGCTCTCTGACCGTTTTTTAACATCTCATGCAACCACTAGGTGAACTGGTCAGATGACATGGACCAGCAATATGCAGGTGACACACACCTCTACCTATCCTTCATCACATATGACCACACCACTCCCACCAAGATGGCTCAGTGGTTAGACAAGATCAGTTAATAGATGAAGAAGGGGGAGGGATAGCTCAGCGGTTTGAGCATTGGCCTGCTAAACCCAGGGTTGTGAGTTCAATCCTTGAGGGGGCCATTTAGGG